ATTATAATAATTCAGCGTACGCTCCGAACAAGGCGGGCGGCTAAGCGATAACGATACATCAATCTATTAATAAAATAAAAATAAAAAATAGTATAATATTAATAATAATAAGTGGTTGTCGTCGTGGTCGACCCGACGCACGGCGTGATAGCGCAACCAGACAATATGTAAATAATTAGTAAATTTAGATAATATAAATGATATAATTCCAAATTCGACCATTCTATAATGGTTTATTTTTATACCACAAAATAATAACAAAATATTTTATTTTGATTTCAATTCTAAGGATMGTAATTTTATACGAAAGTACGGAAAATTTTTGKGGGGAGGGACCCCCCCTGGATACGTGCCTGGGCCTATCCACCCATGCCAATATCCATGTAATTACCAAATATGAGTATCTATGGTTAATGTTAGGTACTAAATCTGTAAAAAGTGTAAAAACTGTACCTATTACAGATAACAGTATAAGAAATAAGGATAGACCATATTATGAGATAATGTTTGTTGCGTCATTTATTTTTTTATAATTTTTTTAATTMATTACACAACAGATGATTAAATTGATAAATACGGAGTACCTATAATATAATAAGAATATCTAATAAATTAGTTAATATACAGGAGCTATACTATTGGTAAACTTCTCTAACGTACTTATAACTTAATTTATCAATTGAAAATATTCATATAAGTATTTAACTATAGACAATCAACAACATGTTAACTTTTRGCATTACTACTAATTTACCAAAATACAAAATTCCATCAACATTTTTAGCTGATGCATCAAAATTAATCAGCCAAGTACTTCAAACACCAGAACTAGTAAATTAAATTTATTATTCATATTTTAATGATACCTCCTATATATACGGAGGTATATGGTATATACTTCTATAGGTACCATTTACCCAAATTTATTTTTTTGTCAAAATTCTTACTTCAGAAGCTCATTGAGTTATCTTGTTTAGAGAAATTGAATAATAAAAATGTATTTCATATTTATTGTAATATTATATCAATTATATAGGAGGTATAATCCATCATATTTTATTAGTTTATTACTTACTAATTACTATTTTGACTTTCGCGATTATTTTTTCGCGATTTTAACTGACACCCGCATAGGTAGTGTAGATATTATTAAAGTAGGTAATAAAGTATTACCTATACTTATTAACTTCATCGATATGAACTATTATAAATGTATAACTATTTATCTACCTATATATAGGTATATGATTTATCAAATTTAAATTTTTAATTCTTTCAGTATATTTCGGTTAGAATCAAGGCTGGACAACAGATGTTTTGGTCGAATAACGAATCTTTATGTGCACTAGGAAACCTAACCGGAACTGGAYTCTTTGGAATTGATGAAAATAAACACTATGCCTCAATTATATATGATTTTATTGAAAAACAACTTGGCGTACCGCAAGACAAGTATATCATTATATATATATATATATATATATTTCATATCAATTAATAACATATCAGTACAAATGATTTTGCATAATATATTCAATTCAGTATTGGAGTACCTAATTAATGTTTGTTATGTTGAGAGTTGAGATGGTATACATTGTTAATAAATAAATCTGTTTAATTACTTTATTAGCTAGGTATACATCACTATTCAAATTTTAAAAACGTCAATAGACTTAAACCTAAGTTAAATTAAGGATAAATATTACACTTTTTAATTTTCAATTGGTACATTTTTACTAGGTTACTTAGCTATATTCTGTCTACAATACATCACTTTTATAAAAATAAACCTAAGATAAATTACCAATATCGATACAATATTTTAAAAGCAAACAATCGGTTCAATAATTTCAAATAAAAATAATTATTTGTTTTGTTACTAAATACAGTAATATGAGCTAGGATCTAAAATATAATGTTGGAAAGTAAGTAAAACTATAGAATTATAGGCAAACATTTAAAACTAAGTTAGGTAGGTATCTAATATCTAAAGACAATAACACATAATACAAAGTCGTAAGTATACTAATAGTGTCTTAGTAAGTACCTACCTTCTATAATTAGGAACAGTTGATAAATATTCTGATTCACATGATCTCATTTATATCCACTGTTTTTTTAATATGATAAGGTATGTTTTATTTTAAACAACATTTTCCATATTTCTTAATATCTATTTGTTTCATAGACAAAAATTATGCTGTTATGATATTATTAGATAGTAAATAGATACAATTTTTAATTTTTATTAAAATAAGTAGGTACCTATAACAATACATTTAATTTAAATAATAAGCACTATTAATACAAACATTATTATTGTCATGTTGTAGATTTTATCTATCATTCGTGGAACAAAAACCAAGCAATATTGGAGTCCGAGGTACGACTTTAGAAGATATTATTCAATAGATATGTTATACGTTCAAGATAATATATTAATATGCGATTATAAAATAATTGGTTTTTCATGACTTTTGAATTCATTATGTAATAATGTTATTATTCTAATAAATAATTCGTTTTAATTATGTATACTAGCTATTTTCTAAAACTACACAACCTTCCTATTACACGCGGTCTACCTGTCTAAAGATGGACATTTTTATAACCAGTGTCTATTTTTGTATGCATATTATAATTTAGTTTGTTCTAAATGCACGCTATGCACTGCCATAACGAAAAAAAATATGTGCGTCTGCCACCTAAGATTTTATTTAGGTAAGGACATAAGGTTCACTACTACTATAAAAACCAAGATAAAAAACACTACAATATAACTAAAACGGATTTATAAGATTTATTATAAAAGTTTCAGGACCGTATTTTACTATTTTATCAGTTTAACCCCACAGTGCTAATGTAGAAATGTATAACGTCTAATAATTACTAATTAGTACCTAATTTCGTAGTTTCGTACAATCGTACCTACTAAAACGTTATAAATGTTATAATTTATAAAAACAGACTAAAGACCTTTCTTGATTCATGATAGGTAATAGATGATGGCAGATACTATTAAATAAACTCTTTGCATTATTTAATATGCCATTTTTAAACGATTTTGAATATTTTGATAATTTGATCCACTACCACTTACCAGCAATAAAATTATGGCTCGATAAAAAATAGACATATTATACTATAAGACGGATCCTTCTATATAACTTAGAAGAAGTAATATCAACAGCAGTTCCTACTCAGATTCTCGATTTTAAACTCAAAAAAGGTACCTATATCAAAAAGACAATAAACAAAAATGTTTTCATCTCTAACTTTACTCTCTAATCTTATGTTCATTGGTCATCGAATCTCTTTAATTTTAAAACAACATTTTTTAAGCTTTTCAACAAATTTACAGCTTTTAAAATATCAATTCCTTTTTCTTGTAAATCAATAGATATTTTATTACAATGCTGTAATATGTCATTCTAAAATTGAACATAAATGGTTGTTTCTTTTTTCAACACTTTTAAATTATACTTTGTATCCCCATTTTCATATTTACTTTCATATCATTCCTTACTCAGACAAATTTGATTATTCTGATTATATGTGATGTTATTATATGTGCTCCCACATGCCATGCCAATAGTAGTAAACACGGTAATTGGGTGACGGGCCCCATCATCCGTTAATTTAAACAAGAAAAAAATAAAAATATACTTGTAGGTACCTACTATAAAAATTAAAATTTACAAATTATTACTCAATGTAATTTTAAGGCAAGAAGACTATGGGTTCTTTATTTTTTTTTTTTTTATTTCTTTATTTCTTTACACCAGTGTTTCTCAACCAGTGTGCCGCTGAGCAAGTTCAAATGTGTCGCGTGAAGTACTAATATTAAATGACAAAATGTTCAAACATTATTAACAGTTTTACACAAGGGGGCCCTAGGGACGTGGCCCTCCTTAATCAGGGCTTGTATGTATCGGATAACTGGTATAACCAAGACAATTGATTTTTTTACATTTTTCTATAGTGTTGAGACTATAATAACTATTGATGAGAGAATTTAACCTACCTGCCTACCCATATTTTTTACTTAGAACCTAGGTATAACTGGTATAAGTAGCCTAAGTAGGTATTAAAAATGACAATTTTTTATATGTAAATAAATTAATACATTCAGTATAATAAATATTATAACTATATAGTAATTAGGATAACTACAGTTACGTCTTACGTCTTACTAGTTATTATTTAGTATAAGTAACTTATAATAAGTTGATAATTGCTCTACATCAACATTTTATTATACCATATTTATTATTTAAAATGAATATTAATATTGAGTATTGAACTAGGTATTGACCACTGTTAAAATATACCTTACTAATTAAATACAATATTGTAATATATTGATAATTAAATAATTGCAAAATAAATTTGGAATTTTAAAATAGTTGAATGATTCCAAAAATCACACTCTATTTTAAGGTTGTTGAACCTACTTTTTCAAAAGGCAAAATCCGCAAACTTTATAATCACCTACTTCAACATATTATGAATATTTTAAATGGTTAGTATATTAATTAAATTTAAAGTTAACAAACCTATATGGCTACTATATACATACTTTTAATAGAAATTACTATCAGTAGGTAATCAGTATAATTACTACCTATTCATCACAAAAATTATTACATTAAATTTAAATTTTTTTTATATGTTACTATTTTAATTTAATCTTCGTGTTAATAACCAT